TGGCTTCCAAACCTATGGAAACCTTGAAATAATAAATGTGCATTATTTTAATCCACTAGGTTTGGGGAGATTTGTTGCATAATAATGGAAAATTAATACAGAGTATTTTCTTAGAATTTCTTAATGAATTTCCTTGAGTTTTGCATGTCAGGCTGACTCAGATATTCCCTAGGTTGATAAGGTAATAAGGATGCCTGTCACCTAGAAGACTGGGATAATTTTAACTTGAAATCCTTCTATTTCCTATTGGTAAGTGTTGTCCAGGCCAAATGCCAATGAAGTCCTCATTTCCACCTTAAACCTCATGAGCCTGGCCTTTACTGTCCTCATTCCTATCAGCCTCTGTTCTTCTGAGCTCTGACCATATTGTTCTTCTACTTTAATTTCTTGCCTTCCAAGACATTTCTAGCTCATATCTCTAAAACTTTTCAAACTTCTCCCACAAAGTAGTTCCAAACTGCATAGTCAGGTACATTCACAGGAACGACCTCATTTCTCCAGTTACAATTTTCTGTATTAGACAGCTCTCCTACTGGAATATTATACCCAACACATACAATTTAAAGAAGAGGTTTAATGTAAATTACAGTTTCAGTGGACTTAATATGTGGTTGGCAGCTTCCAAAAAAGAAACATTATGGTGGAATAGCATAGAGGAACAAAACAGAGTAGCAAAGCAGTACCAGAGAAGGGATGACAGACTATGTATAATACTCGAGGTTACATTTCCATGACCTACCAAGACACATGTAGAAGCATGTTCCATCAATCTCATGGGCAGCTCCCAAGTAAGTCAGGTACAAAATCAAGCTTAACTGTCACACCCATCCATCCTAAACCTCCATTCATGGTCCACCCATACAACAAACAGTGCTCTATAGTCGAGTTTAACATCAACACTAATCTTACAATTCAGTTTAGCAATGAATGTTACCTATATGGCAGATTCTCTGAAATTAATTTGAACTGACTCCAAAGGTACTTGGTATAATAAGCATGGAGAATATTAAGAATGCCACTTTTTTTAACCTGAAAATAGGCTTCTGGTAAAAATCTCAGTGCTTACATAGTTCCACAAGGATTTTATTTGTTAGATATTAAAAACAATTGAATGAATTTTGCATAGAAATATTACAAATAGTTTCTTCACTGAAGAAACAACTAATACATACCCAGAGTTCTTTCTCATCAAATTAAGGACTAGATTTATAATTCTAAAAATAAATTTTTCTCTTTTAATGTCCTATATTTTCTACATCTAGATGTATAATCCACTAGGAAAATTGGGGGTTTTTTTGCAATACTTGCTTTGATGACTAAAGATATTAAAGTAATTGATAAGAAAATAAGTTTTGAATATGTCAGCTATCCAGTAGTATTATATAATATTTTATCATATCCCAGAAGCAGGAATAGTATTGATTTTTTCAGACAATTTTGTTTTTACTGAACACATTGTATTCCTTACATAAATCTTTATTAGCAAAAGAAACATGTCGAAGAGGGTACTAATATTTTGATATTTCTACTCCTTGTTGTGTCTTATACCAGTGTAAAATGCATATTTCATATAGCTAAAAGGTCTTTCTAGCTTATAAATACATACATACATACACACATAAATACATACATAAATAATCTTTCTTTGCTATGCACAGAGGATAAGACCCAGGACACACTTCCTCTCAAATCTCTTATAATAAGGGTCATAGTATTTCTATATAAACTTTCACATTTTTATATATGTACCTTAAATCATGTCTGGATTACCTATAATAAATAATACAATCTGAATACTTTGTAAATAGTAGTTATACTGTATTGTTTAAGGAGTGAAACATCATACTTTCAATAAGTTAAATCTGTAGATGAGGAATCATAGGTAAAAATACTTGACTACATATACATATAAATGTTCACACATATATATGTGTATCTTCATACATGTATATATGTATGTGTGTGCCTGCTTGTGGTATTAACATCTCACTGTTCTCTAGATATTAATATGTATTTCAAATGCCAGTTTGTTTATCAAATGTAAGATTATTGAACCATAAAATTTTACCTTGTTTTGATTCTCCATTTGGCCTGATTTAAGATAAACCAAAGCAATGTAAGTTTCACAGGGGAAAGGGTTTTGTCTATTTTATCTGATATAGCTCATATGATGGATTAGGTCTGTGGACATGATAGATACATGTTGAATGAATAGATTTCATTAGTAAATGATCTAAAATTTAATCTTTTTCCATGTATGCAAACTGAGAACACAGAAAATATTTTAAGGAGCTAGTAACTGCTGCTGTATGGATTGGCTTGATTGTGTTTCCCAAAGGTTCATGTGTTGGTGATTAATTTCCATTGTGAAGTATTAAAGGAGAGTGAGAACTTAATTTAACTATGGGGTTTAGAAGTGGGACATTTTGGAGATCATTAGGATTAGATAAGGTCATCATTGTGGAGCTTGATTGAATGCTGGTGCCTTAATAAGGACAGAGAGATACAAGGATACATATGCATTCTCCCTGTCTCTTGACAGGTATTACCCTGTGCCACCTTTATAAAGTTAAACAGCTTCAACAATTTCATTATAGTAATGCAAAAATAAATGAGTATAATAACAGAGCCTTCCTTAAAATGAAAAAATGTTGTTTGTGAGATTTTCTTCTTTTCAGTAAAGGCTTAGCCCACTTATTTTTATTTCAACTGGAAAGATTATGAGATAGAATGATGGTGGAGTAGAGTATATCTTTCTTCACATGGGAAAATGAATCATTTTTAGTATAATTAGGAAAATTTTAAATAATAGCAGCTGAAGGATGGGTGAATAATTAGAAACATTTTCTAAAATGCTTCTCCATACATTTTCTTTAAATTGTTTTAAAATTAAAGCCAGAATTCAGTATGAGTGCTTTGACAGGCATTGTCTACTTAAAACATATACAGTATTAAATCTTTAAAATGAGAAGATTTGTCTAATTACCTTGTAAATATATATAGCACTAGTAGATTTATTTAATATGAAAGATACATTGGTATAATTAAGCAATTACAAACCTAATAACTGAACAAGGATTGTAAAAGAATGAGAAAATATCTTGAGATAAATTCTCCTTCATCTCAAGAAATATATTCACAATTCCATCTTGATATTTTATTAATTCACCGAATAATGTTCTAAGACCTACTTACTCTTACATGTTACTACGGAAGCAGTAGCACTTAATTTTACCTTTAAACTAAAAGTAAAAGTTGATTCAAAAATTTCCATAATGCATTTATTATTAACTGCAGAAAGCATTTTGTAAATTTTTTTTCAAATATAGCTGTGTTGAATTCATTAAGCAAAGTGGTTCACTGGTTAGAGCAGTTTCATTTCAAAAGCAGGAAATTTCCTTTAGCACTAATTAGAAAATGAATACCATACAAGTGTTTTAATGGTCAATATCCACCCACTCTGGCTAATTTATCTACAGGGAAGAGTAGGGGTTGATGAATCAGAGGAATGAGTCACCATTGGTAGGGTATATGTGGTGGTGGAATCCTGCAAACAATTATTTCATTTCTAGACATCACTTAGATAAATAATGTATAATGTTATAACCCAGCATGAGGCTCAATATTTTGACTTAAAAACAGCTTTGTTATTTCTTACAGGATAATTAATATCTGCTGAGTTGCCACTGTAAGTGATGAAATGTTTCTTAAAATGTTGTGTGATTTCTTTTTGCCCCTTCACTTTGGCACTGCATCTAATAATTTGGCATTGCATTTTTTGGCATCGTAAGTTTTTATGAACTCCTGAGTGCCTGGATAGTACTGCAGGTGCAGTCAAGCATTATGGAAATAGCCTTGGGCCACAGGTCTACAGCCAGACTTTTACTGTAATTAAATAAGATATCTTACAAAGAAAGAGGAAAACAGCAAACTCGGCTTTCAAGCTTAGCAATATCACTTATGGTATTTTATTGAGACTACTTCTTGACTGCAAAGAAATTTCCTCTGCCTACTTTTCACTCACTTCCTTGCAGTTTGTGTACCTCCTTATATATACCCTTGTTGTTGGTTAGGCTTCAAATTCTTGTGGATGAAGATCCGTATAAAAATGTATTATCTGTCAACCCAGGCACTGGGGGAAAATGCTCACACAAACCTTTATGCTAGGAAAAGAATTATAGTGGCTTCAGCTCCAGAGGGAGTTCCCAGTCTTTATAGTAAATCATAAGACTCTTAGCTCAGACCTCCACAAAATTCTTTCTACTGATAATTTATACTGTACAGTTAGTCTCTATTGTCACTCCCAAGGTGTTGATATGAAGACCTTATGAACTCTAAGAAGTGGAACTGTCTGGACTCGTTCTAAACAAACTGGAAAATATCAATAGGACTGCCAAATCCAGAGGCAGAAGTAACTATCTACATTACTGATTAATTAAAGGGAGTGGAACACAGGTTATATGAATAAAATTTTAACAATGGGTAATCAAATATAAATTATTCAGAGTTTGTGTTTCTGAATAACTTGTAAACCTGAATTATGTGTCTTTCAAATGAACACAGCTCCCTGGCTTCTGTTCTTGGACTTTTTTCAAAAGTATTAATCTCACTTTAATGGTAAAGCAAGATAATTTAATCTCTGGAGGTGATTTCTCCAACTCAGTATTGTCCCCAGTGTTGAAATACTGAAACCAAAAGGTAAATTGAGAAAAACTACAGCTGACTTAAATCTACAAATGACCAAGGATTACATGTCAATGATCAAACACTCTCTAAAAACAAGCACTGAATGTGGACTTGGGCTTAGGAATGAATGGAATCACATTTTTTTTGGTATTTTCTTTTTTCTTCAATAGCAGAAAATGACTAGAAACAAAAGAAACATTAACCTTTACACAACATACATTTACTTGTGGGTTACTCAGTCACTAACTGATTCTTATGATTTACTATATAAGAGTAAATATACTCTTATACTCTAAGACACCTAGGAGTCTTATGATTTACTATAAAGAGATTGAACCCAAGGCCTTTGCACTGAGGTACGTTCCTAGCCATTTTAAAATTTGATTCAATTTTTTGTAAATTTTGAGACAGGTTCTTGCTAAATCACTAAGCTCCCCAAGCTGGGTTCAGATTTAAGATCCTTTTCCCTCAGCCTCTTACAGATAGGATTGTACGTTGTGGCAGAAACTTATATTTTATCAGGTACTATCTTAATTACTTTTCTCATTGCAGAGACAAAATACCTGGCACACACAAATTAAGGGAGGAGAGGTTTATTTCAGCTCACATCAACACCAGGAAAGCCATTTAGCACAGGCCTCTTGAAGCTTTACAAGTCCACCAATGATTCTGCACTTGTCTCTCCACCTTTAAGAAGGAGAGAGGAATAGGGTATGACTTACCTTCCTCTCCAGCAGCATGCAAAGTTTTAAATATGGATTCTTTCTGGGATGAATATGCCAGTACTTTAGTAAATGGATAACTGTATATCACAGTGTCTATCTGTCCTTGAGCAGGAAACTGCAAGACTTTGTCTTCAGGAAGATGAACAATATATATATATGTTTCTAGAGGTTTTAGCCCATAGTCAGCTGACTCTAAGGCAGAGTGGCATTAGCAGAGGGGCAGCAGAGAGAAGAGCCAGGTTACAGCAGTGCAGGCGGAAGGCAGCGAGCAGCAGCAACAAGATGTCCCCCTGCCTTTCCCTTTCACTCCACCCAGGCTACCAGCCTTTTGGGTGGTGCCCTCCAGAACTATGCTAATACTAATCAGTGCACTAATTTAGTACCACACACCTTAATCCAAGTATCGCATGCTCTAGACCCAGCTGGCTCTGAAAAGCCCCACCTATGAGCAGAGGAGGCTTTGAGGGGACATCCAGACACAAGCCATAAGAGGTAAAAACTACTGTTCATTTGCGTGTATGCTGCCTTGTTCTTTCTCAAGCTCTTTACATTGAGGCTGAAGGTGTTTAAAAATATTGAAAGTAGGTCTTCAAACTAAATTTGGTATAAGGGTATGTTTTCCTAGAGAATAAACAGATAGAGAGCATGCACCCAGGCACATATATGTTGTTCATCTTCCTGAAGACAAAGTCTTGTAGTTTCCTGCTCAAGGACAGATAGACACCATGATATACAGTTATCCATTTACTAAAGTATTGGCATATTCATTCCAGAAATAATCCGTACTTAAAACTTTGCATACCGCTGGAAAGGAAGGGAAGTCATACCCTATTCCTCTCTCCTTCTTAAAGGCAGAGAGACAAGTGCAGAATCATTGCTGGGGTTGTAGAGCTTCAGGCTATCCTTAGGGTAGAAAATGACTGCTTGGGAAATAATTTATTCTGAAAGTTACTGAATCTTTCCTGTTGGTATAACTTATTACTGTGCTAAATGGCTTTCCTGGTGTTGCTGTTTTATCCTATATATGAAACTAGAATGCAAAGTTTAATCGCAGTTCACCAGGGTTTATGATAGTTGGAAGCTATTAATGATTTAAATGGAGTCCAGGTACTTCAAACCCTCCAGCATATTAACAGAAGCCAGTTATTAAGTGGGGCCATGCCCTACATACTCAGGAGTGCATGGTAATTTCTATTCTCAAAAAATTTCTGACTTAAAAGAGAACTGGGGAAAGTCAAAGGGTCTCTTTCTGGTATCTGTTTGCTGCTAGTAGCATAAGTCAAAATGAACATCATATAAACTATTTTTAATAGCTTGATAATTTCCATTTAAATATGGAGAGTGTCAGCTCTGGAGTACAAATGCTTAAATAAGAAATAGCTTTACAAGTTACTTTTTTGAACTTGAACTAATTCTTTTATCTCAGTATGCCACATATCCGTTTCTTTATCCATAAAATGAGGATCATTGAAGAAATTAATCTTTCATATTGTTGTGAGCAAAAAATTAAGATAATCCATGGAAAAGGCTTAGCATAGTACCTAACACATGTTAACAATAAACATATTTAGATAATTATGATTTTTGTTCATATTATCTTCATTACTGACTTACACACTAAAATGAAAATAAAACATATATTTAAAAGAATGTAAAGTTCAATAAAAATATAAAACTTTTAAAAATGATGATACAGGGGCTGGGGATTTAGCTTAGCGGCAAAGTGCCTGCCTGACAAGCACAAGGTCGTGAGTTCGGTTCCCGGTACCGGAGAAAAACCAAAAAAAAAACAAAACAAACAAAAAAAAAAAAACTAAAAATGATGATACATATACAATATTCCATTTATGAATTTATTCAGTACTAAAATATATCAATATATTCATTGATCTCTAAGGCTCCTAAGAAAGCTTTCTCTCTCTTATCTATAAATTTTATACTTCTGCTTGAACTGTCCTTCAGTTTGAATAAAGTTTTCTTTCCGTCGTGGTTATGATTAATCATTGAGTTGTGTACACCTTTGCCATGGTTGCAAACATCTTACATTCTTTCTACAAGGTCTCAGAGGTTGCCTAGTAAATGTAATAATAAAATGCACCATAAAACAATATCCTTAACTATGGCTAACTTATATTACATGACTTTGCAGGTTTTCCTCAAGAAGAAGCTACCCCACAAGCTAAAATTTTACTATCATTATACAGCATTAAATATTAAATGACTTTCACAGCAAAGGCAGTTACCATTTTGAGGTGAATTTTGGTATTGTTATCTGTATTTACAGCCTTACTGAACACCTAGAAAATATATGCTTGCATCAGTTTATTAAGTTCTAGAGAGCGCCTTCCCTTTAACAATGCCTCTGCCTGTAGAGCTCAAGTCAGGAGTGTAAAGTATCTATCAAGAAAGGGAACTGCCACCAGAGAAAATCAACAGCATCAGTGAACCGCACCTAAGCCAAGGATACTTCATATCCTGAACATATTTGCTTTCCCCAGTGCTAGTCACTATACGAAAACTTCAAATTTATTTGATTTCCTTTGTGGTCAGAGCGACTCTGTTTACTTGCCATATCATTTCCAGAGACTTACTAGGGTACAGAAAGGGGACTTTGGGAACCGCAAGGGAAAACTGAATACAGGGCATAAATTTCAATGCCAATATTTTGCAAGGGGACTTGTTTATTTAATAATTGTGGATAGCAGATTCCAGGGCCAGAACAACATGATCTGCATCCTTCCTTTCCCCTTCCGTTTTCAGACTCAGTGGTTGCCATCTCACCACATATAACATGGTTCTTTAAAAGTAAGACCAGATGGCACTGAATGATAAGCCATTCTTCCTGAGGCCGGAAAAGAAGGTGAGGTGAAAGGCAGAGTTATGAGGATGATGGGAGGAGGTTGTTAAGGGTAAAGAAATTGCTAAAGTATAGTAAATACAAAGCAAAACTAGACTGTGGAACAGACCAGAAGAATATGTCACATAGGGTCACCTGGGGTCATCCCTCACTGCCAAGGATGAGCTGAATTTAGAAAGAACAAATCACAGAAGTCCTTTAGAACAATGGACATTACATTCGTTGTGTTTTGTTCAGAAATAGGATAAAATCCAGAGTTAAAGATTGCTTAATGTATATGGCTTACAGTCTCAGTGAGGAGACACATGGAAACTATAAATTCAAATGAAACTTGGTTAAGGAATTATAAACAGTGTGTGGGAGTACCAAGAGAAGGTTGTCTAGCCTTTAGAGATGGAGAAGACAGACATGAGAAATAAACTGTCTTATTAATGTGCTCTTATGTGTCAAAAACATTTTTTTCTGAAGATGCAGAAAATAAAATTTTAAAAGACTAGGAAATTTTTAATTTTTTAACTTTAAAGAGAATAGAAAAATAACAAAATAAGAACAATATAGACAAAAATGAAACAACACAAAAGCAATAAAAATGATACAAGGTTTCAAAAAAATTAGGAATTAACAATGGTTATCATATTACATTTTTTCATCTTCAACAAAGTTGCTCAGATTACCAGAGGTAAGACTAAAAGATTGATCAAACCATTAAAGAGAATAAAAAATATTTTTAAGAAAATCTTAGAAACAATATAGAGGTTCACTGAACAAGATGGGAGGAATTCACCAAAGGTTGTTATTTTGCATATTGTTGTCTTCAAATTAGTTGTTCAGATTACTAGATATAAGCATGCAAAATTGGTCAAAATATTTTAAGCATTACCTGTTCTTTTCAATAAACCCATAGGCAACAGCAGTACAATTATCCCAGATAGATAGACAGATATATGATAGGTGGATGAACAGATAGAAAGGTAATTTCCCTTCTTTCTTTGTTTTTCTCCTTTCCTTCATGCCTGTTGTTCCTTCCCTTTGAGCAATTTCTTTCCCTTTCACAATATCTATTGTACCTTTTGAGTTTTATTTACTCTTTCAGGTACTTACACTAGGGAGAAAAAATGATGTTCACATATGTGGGTTCTATTTATTTCACTTATGATATGGTCTCTAGTTGCATCCATTTGCCTATAAAAGCCTCAAGTTTATCTTTCTTACAGCTGAGTAATATTCCATTATATAAAGATACCACACATCTTTTTATCCATTCCTCAGTTGATGGGCATTTGATTTGTTTCCAAGACTTACTATGACATATTGTGCTGCTGTTTGAGTATCCTCTATGTTCATTACTAATTCTTACATATTTGGAAGGACTCTTGTCAGCAAATGGAAGACATTCAACTCATCCTTGTTTCAGAATATGAGGACGCAGTGAAACACGCAGCTCACAATCCCAGGCACATGCTTCCTCCAGGCATGATTGCATTAGGAAGCTCAACTGCTATCCATAGGAGACTCATGCCCCTCCCTCGAGCTCGCAGTGATTATCCTTCCTTCTCCCATCTCCCATCTCCCTTCTCTTTCCCCATCTCCTCTCCTCACCCCCTTTTCCTTTCCCTCCCTCCCTTCTTCCCTATCTCTTGGCACTATTGTCTTATGCTTTATATCGTTCATAAACAATGTGAATCTCTACTGTGACTCCTGGAACTCTGAGATTTTCATGATAGTTGAAATTAAAGACTTCTACATACAGAGATCTTCTCCAATCAAATAGCTT